CGAGCGGAAGACACGTTTGTGTGCGGCGCACTTTGATGACGCATCTGCGCGGCACGTGTAGCAGAGCGGCGTGCAGGGACAACAACAACAGAGCAGAGAGCAAACATGGCTGAGGGCGCCGGTGAAGACCATGGTGAAGACATGCAGGTTGTAGAAGACATTGTGCCAAAACGCGGAGCTACCTCAAACATATGGGAGTAGTTTGGGAACTAGATAAAAAGAAGCAATTGTGTGTAACTATCGACAGTGGATCTAATGTTGTGAAAGCAGCTGCCCTAAACAACTGGACTCGAGTGGCTTGCTTCGGACACTCGCTCTCTCTCTCTCTCTCATAGTGCCATTGGTAAGCTTTATTTACTGTTTACTGTCATTCATTTTACTTCAATGCATGTGTTTGTCTACATTGCAATATAATTACAAATAAGTTATAATTACATAATTATAGAAACGCAAAAGGATACAAAAAATATATACAGTATTTGATCATTTTGACTATATTGGGATTAGGAAACATAAGCCAAAGTGATCAAATAATTATTTGATAATGCTACACTTTTTATATTACAAAGGACAAACTTTTATATATTTTACAAATTACAAATGTTCACCTTTATTACATGTTGCCTGCAATTTTCAGTATGTACAAAACAGAATTATCTACAATTCAGTTTTGTTAATACGTTTTATATACAATAGCTGTATTGCACATTGTGCTGCCAATAAATCAGTAAATGCACTTTGAGGCAAGTGTGTTTAAAATTATCAGTGCTAAGTTTTTATAGCTTTTATATGAGGCTTTGTTAAAATTATCATATCGTCATAATGTGATACATACCAACAAAAATCGTGATACATGCTGAGGCCCATATCGCCCAACCCTAATGTCAATCTGTAAAACTAAAATCAGCCATATTGCACACACACAAAAACTATTTTCTTCTAGACATCCATAATCACTTATAGGTGTCATGATTGCAGAAGGTCATGGGTTCGAGCCCACTGTAAAACCTACTTCACGACTCCCACTAATGTCTGCTGTCGTGTCCTTGGGCAAGACACTTAACCCCACTTTGCCTGAAGCCCCCGCTGAAAGATCTTAGCTCCTGTGGACTCACCACCTGCAGGAGGATCAGTGAAGTGTACTGGGTGAAGCTCTGACTGCCACCCCCAGACCCAGAAATGGATTAAGGGGAAGAAAATGGATGGATGGAAGTAAACATGGGAAAAACAGAAAATCCAAAATCCAATCTTGAAGAAACAGACAAGAAATAAAAAGCCCAAAATCAAGTGGAGAGGAGCATGGGGTATACAGTACATACACACAGGATGTATGATTCATAAAAAGAGACAAGAGAAACAATCTATTCAAAATAAAAATGTTCAACAAAAGGTTCTCACCATGACAATAGTTCTGAATGATTTTTTGATAATCTATTACTTTGTCGATGAGAAGCAATTAGCTGCTTTGTTTGAGGCATAAAATCTCTACAATAGGGGTCTCCAACCTGTAGCTCGGGAACCACCAGTAGCTCGCCACCCCCTTCCAGGTAGCTCGCCAAAGGATCTAGAAATGAACAAATCAACTAATACACTTAATTTTTCGGCATGTATGATTCATTATTATTGTAAGCGCACTTTCTTTGTCACTAGTAACAAATATGTGATGATAAATAATGACTGTATAGGCTTGTTCACGGCAGTATTTTCCCAGGGCCGCTTAAAGAAGTAGCTCTCTGCCTTTAGCGTCCTGGGAAAGCAGCTCTCTGGGTGAAAAAGGTTGGAGACGCCTTCTCTACAGTGTACAGTATCAGAATCAGAATCATTTTTATTGCCACTAACAAAAGTTACCACTTGGTGATTGTTTTGGCAGAGAGCATGCCACGGCGCCAAGCCGTGGAAAAAATAATTGGAAACAAATAATACCCAAGTACTTAATTAGTGGACAACAATATAATCAATTAGTTGTGATGAATTGATGACTAAAAACAGCCCCAATCACATCCCTCAATAACGTGCATTCAAACATGATTTAATCATTATCAGATTTCGGAATCTCTTTCAGAGGATGGTGTTATGGAGGACTATTGTGCATTATTTTTGTTGGTAAAGGAAACCAGAGCACCCAAAGGAAACCTACTCGGACACAGGAAGAACATGCAAAATCCACACAAAATTCCCTGTCTCTGGAATCGAACTTAAGACCTTCTCGCTCCACCATGTCGCCCATGTTTCTCTTCACGTTATTCATAAACTTTTGACTGTTTGACTGAGCTTTTGACAGAGGAATTTGACTTTTGGGCTGAGTATATATATATAATGAAATAAATGCTATGCCTGCATTATGTTTTCAATGATTGACAGATGCCTCATTCATTGCTTCATGCTGGAGTGTCTAGACATCAGTTCTTGTCATTGTTCTCTGGCGTTGATAGTTCTGTTTCAGTCCTGTACAGTCAGTGACAGACAGCTCTAACAATCAGACGTCCCCAGACCACAGAGTCTGGAAAGTCGGACCTCATAATTATTGCAGACTTCTTCTACGATGAACTTGAGGCAATTTTGAGTGCAAGAATTGGGGAAGATTAGAGGAAAGAGAAAGTTAATGCTGAAGTATTATTTAAATTTAAGAATAGCTGAGATGTGCTTACTACCTTGGGAAATTAACCAAATAATTCCAATTAAAGCGCTACCATCTTGAAAAACAAAAATTGATCTAAATTAAGAGCATCCTGGGACAAGAACTTGCAAGATAAATACCTAACAAGAGCCAAAACATTTAGCTAAGACAATGAACTAGATCCTATAAGTGTTGTGTTGTCCTTACAATATATAATGTTAATATTCACTATAGCAACACTGTACTGTACTGTGTTTGTGTGTGTGTGTGTGTGTGTGTGTGTGTGTGTGTGTGTGTGTGTGTGTGTGTGTGTGTGTGTGTGTGTGTGTGTGTTTGTGTGCGGGAACTGATTGTACAGGAGCCAGGGAGCTGTCCTTTCAGCACCACAAAGCTCTGCTCTCAGCTTTCATCTGAAACACGACAAACTCCGCATACATGAATGTGTGATCACCGTTCCGTGCTGCTCACAACGATTGCAGTCCTAGTTCAGTGTTTCTCAAACTGTGGTACTCAAACTCCACTACAGAACAATAACTTTAATAATGCCATTTTATTCCACTGTTTTAGTCTTTTTGTGTGTTCTTTCAAAACTCCTGCGATAAGATGGTACACAGAATACCAGATATTTACATACGGTGGAACTTGGGATCGTTTTGTGTGAGAGGTTTGATAATCACTGTTCTAGTTCATACAGTCAGATGTTGTTTGCTGTTATTAAAATTGGAGTAACTTTTTACCAAATGTGTACAGGCCTAAATTTTAACTTTCACTTTGAAACACATTGTATTGGCTAAATAATAACCACATATGTTACTCCGCTAATAATGATATGTATATATATAAAATTGTCCACTCACCTTTGGCCCTCCGCGGGCGGTTATCCCTCTCTAAGCTCGGGTCCTCTACCAGAGGCCAGGGAGCTTGAGGGTTCTGCGCAGTATCTTTGCTGTTCCTAGCACTGCACATTTCTGGACCGAGATGTCCGAGGTTGTTCCGGGGATCCGCTGTAACCACTCATCTAGCTTCGGGGTCACTGCCCCGAGTGCACCGATCACCACGGGCACTACTGTCACCTTTACCCTCCAGGCCCTCTCCAGCTCCTCTCTGAGACCTTGGTATTTCTCAAGCTTTTCATGTTCTTTTTTCCGGATGTTACCATCGCTTGGAATTGCCACGTCCACCACCACGGCTGTCCTCTGCCCTTTGTCTACCACCACGATGTCAGGTTGGTTTGCCATTACCATTCGGTCGGTCTGTATCTGGAAGTCCCACAGGATCTTCGCACGCTCATTTTCCACCACCTTTGGAGGAGTTTCCCACTTAGACCTTGGGGTTTCCAGCCCATACTCTCCACAGATGTTTCTGTACACTATGCCAGCCACTTGGTTATGGCGTTCCATGTAGGCCTTCCCTGCCAGCATCTTGCACCCTGCAGTTATGTGTTGGATCGTCTCAGGTGCCTCTTTGCACAACCGACACCTTGGGTCTTGTCTGGTGTGGTATATCTGGGCCTCTATCGCTCTGGTGCTCAGGGCCTGTTCCTGTGCAGCCATGATGAGTGCCTCTGTGCTGTCCTGTAGGCCAGCCCTTTCTAGCCATTGGTAGGACTTCTTGAGATCAGCCACTTCTGTTATGCTCCGGTGGTACATGCCGTGTAGGGGCTTGTTCTCCCATGATGGGCTCCCATGATATATATATATATATATATATATATATATATATATATGGCAGTCAGAGCTGCACCCAGTACACATTGCACCAGCCCCTTTTCAAAAAGTCTTAATTCTGTATTGAATGGGTGAGGAGGGTTAGAATGTTGCTTTTGCTAGACGTCCAAACCCTTTTCAAAACTCTGTCGGTCCTTCTGTTAGTTTGTTGAGTACATTTTTATTTTTTTATTTTTTACAGGTTTTGAAGTAAATGATTGATTGAAACGTCCTTTTGACACTGCGCTGAGAGCTGAGTTGAGAGCTGTTCTGAGGGAAAAAGCTCAATGTTCTTAAGTGTTGTGTATGAGCGACAGATTGAATGAAGTTATCATTTATTCATGCTTTACTGCTTGTCTTACAATATTATTCATTTGGTAGATTTTTTCTCCCAAAAAATAAATATATTCAATATTTGAATAGGTCAACTCCTTTCTAGTTTTAATATCTTGTAAATGAAAACTAAAACTGTGTATATAAAACACTGTATGTGTATTAAATTGTATTGTTGTTTTTTTGTTGTGCCTGATTGTTATTATCATCATTATTTGATTTAACTTCTTGAATTTGACAGTTTTAAGCAGCTGATAGCTTTCTTGACGCTCCCAAGAATATCCTTTCAACTTGAAAGCAGAACTGAAACTTTGTCATCACGCATTCACAAAGCCATATCTCACCTGTACCAGTCCAGTCCTCGGTCGTAGTTGCGGTCAAAGAAGTGTGGCTCTGTCCCCAGCGCCCGCACATCAGGATGGATCCGGATAAACTCCAGGACCGCTCTCGTACCGCCTTTCTTCACTCCGACTATGAGCGCGTTTGGCAGCTTCTTATCCCCATACTTCTGCGCCACACTTATGTTTTTGTTCAACTTGCCTTCGCTCCAGTGCTCCCCAACATCCCTAGTTCCACTGGCGTTTCGCTGCGCCCCTTTTACCTCCACCGAAGCCGACGCGCATCCCTCATCCACTTTACCCAGAAGTTTCTTGCCTCCCGCGTTCTTGTTTGTTACGCACCGCTTGTCCTCGTACGCCTGGCTGGTCATGATTGTTCCGCGGCAGAAGAGGATACTGTAGCATACATATGTGCAGGAAAGCGAAACCGTGAATATAAAGGCAAATCTGGCGCTGAATCTGTTTGGAGAGGTGAGGAGCCTATGTGCCATGTCTCCATTAGTTCAAAGTGCTGCATGTTGTTCCATCGCAGCGCGCTCTCCTCTGTGCTCTGCTCTGCACAGTCTGCCAGGGGTCTATAGGCGCGCAAGTCTCCTATCGGCGAGGTGGGAAGCGCGCTCCTCAGTGATTTGACATCATCGGCTCCTTTCACCGCAAAAAAAAAAAACAAAACAAAACAAACACATAAGATGACAAAAGAAGTCGTCCCAAAATGCATAATCAAAAATAAGTAAGTCCTTGCTGTGATTGTATTTATTTTTTCAGCAAATGCCATTTCAAAGTGATAAGTACCTCAGGTCTGTATGAAGCCAATGAATAACTAAATATAAGACCTTAACACGTCATGCGCTTTTAAAGGACACTATTTGGGATTTTGTCAACCTCATAAATATTCCTTCAAACATTCTATTTTGCAATTTTACAGATTAAAGAGTAACAAGTTTGTTAATGGCCTTGAACCAAGTCTGTGATATATTAGTGCCAAATGAACCAACTCAAACTCTGAGGAGCACAGGGACTGGACTTCTGTTGGGACTCTGAGGAGCACAGGGACTGGACTTCTGTTGGGACTCTGAGGAGCACAGGGACTGGTCTCCTACTGGAACTCTGCAGAGAAAAGGGACTGACCTCCTCTTGGGACTCTGAGGAGAGCATGTGCCCTGAGTCAGGTGTGAACATGGGGAGGCAGCATTTACATGTAGCTAAAACCAGGAACAGTCTTCCTGAAAAATTTAAGACAAGCTTCTACTCTGATAATGTTCAAATCTCATATTTTAAAAGTGATTATTAACTTGTTTTATGATTTATTTATGGTTTTTGTTTGCTTTTTGTTTGAACTGTGCCACACAAATACACTTGCCTTGTCTTACTTTGCGATCTAAGGCCTGGTTATTTGTAAACTGAGATGAACACAAGGACACTCACTGTGATTCTAGAAAGTGAATCTAAGTGAATTTATTTGCCAATATAATTAAAGCACATGAGAGAGAAAAAACTCTTAATAAATCCTAAAAGTATCTTCAGATTCAAAGTTAAACACAAAAACATGGCCTACATTTAGAAAAAAAACAAAAAACAATATGTTTATAGATAGCAAGTGTTATTACTGCACAGAAAAAAACAAATTGGACACAACTTGACTGAACTGACAAATTGATTTGATATTTGTGAGAGTTTGCGCTGCTGCAACGCTCAAAATGTTCCTTTTCAGATAATCCACATCTTGCACTAAAAACATACTGCTAGCTTAATTTTCAAGCAACTTCTAAGCATCGAGGGCAGAAGGACTCAGCTGTGTTTCTTGAAGACTTTATAATGTTGATCTGTATATATGCAGGCCCATTTCTGCTCTTTATGCAGTGAGAACATCTCTCTATTCCGACAGCTCGCACAGGGATTGACAAACTTGTGCATGCTGTGAATCACACTTGCATTTGTGTTCGACACTGCATCTGTCTCCCTCACATCCTCAGAGTGTGAGCAAAGAGCCACTTCCTCGATATGAAACGCAGCGGCAGAGAGCTCACAATGAACTCTGCACCGGCCTTACAGATAAAGGCAACATACCATACCAGCATTCATGAATAAACCACGCCCACATATAATTCACTTTTCTGAGAATGTGTCCATCATGAGGATCTATGGACTGTGATGAATGGTGATAAAGAACATGTATCAACATTTTAGACATTGGTAACTTTTCCTGTTCCCTGTGGACCAATGTCTCATATGTGTTTGCTATTATTGCATTTACAGTGTTCAAACGGTTTTGGATTTGTTGTTGGTGAATCAAAAAATGTGTAAAGCCCTCTAAGACGACATGCTGTTGTGTTTTAGGGCTATACAAAAAACTATTTAAATTGAATTGAATCCTCAAAATAGAAACTGTTTAGTTTTGAAAGGATTTTTTTTTTTTTAGTTTACCCTTTCATGCATGAATTACAGTATGATAGGCTTCTTCAAGATTTTTTCCCCAAGTGTTTCTTAGGGCATGAAAAGACAGATTATATTTTAATTTTGAAAATAAAAAGAATTCTCCATGGAGTTGGTGACACGTCCACTGGAGTGGACAACGTGCATTTGAGTCACGGTATAAGAATACTGGAACCACCATTTAGCATAGTATTCCAAAACTGTAAAATGTGTTGTCTGAAACATAAAGCAAAGACAAATATATTTGTTGAACCGACTAAATGACTGAAATACTATAATGAACTCGGCTGGTACTAATCACCATAAAACTGAGACAAGACTTTCACATCTGCATGGCTTGTACATCTGAGGTGTTTGAGTATGACATGACCAAATGAACCCCAGAAACTTTATTAGTAAGTAAGTAAGTAAGTAAGCTTTATTTATATACCGCCTTTCACAGACCAGAGTCACAAAGCGGTATACAATTGTTATTTTTTGGGCACTTGTCCTCTCACTCCACACAGAGATGGGAGCGGGGTTGCCGAACAGGAGGCGCATGCCAGACCTATTGTACATATTTTTAGTGGCAGGGGAAACCGGAGTACCCGGAGGAAACCTACGCAGACACGGGGAGAACATGCAAACTCCACTCAGAAAGGCCCTGGTCCGGCCGGGATTCGAACCCAGGACCTTCTTGCTGAGAGGCGAGAGTGCTATCCACTCAGCCACACGTGCCACACTGTGTGTGTATTAGTTCACACAGTGTAATGCCCAGTAGTTATTTTCTATTTTGCAATGCATAGAGGTCTGGGTTGACCATTATATCATCAATCAGATTTTGGAATTTGATGAATGAAGAAAACTGTTGGGGCTCCTCCCTCAATCTTCACCAACCACTCTCCTAAAAAGTAAAGAGTAACAATTTACTCTTTACCCTCAAACTTATCATCTTTGACTTTGCAGACATGTCTGCTATCTATATTTTTGTGTTTTTGAGCTTGGTCAAGTCGGACAGCACCATCTCCCTCAGACTCTTCATTCACCTCAAAGGCCTCAGCATCTTCTCCTTCTACATCTTCAACTTCACTGTCACAGCTGTTATCGTCTTTTATCTGGTACCATTCTTCATCATTCCCACTAACATCACCCTCACTTGTGTCAGATGGTAATTACTGGACTGTCCTCTAGGCTTTTCTATTTTGCTCTGGCCCTGACCGCTACAAAACACATGGGAAAGGTCATTATTCTCTTGATGTGCCACATATTCACAAGAAGTAATGTATATCAAATAATGTAATTTATTTGCACCCAAAACTGTATTGAAAATAAAGTATTTCCAGAAACAACAAAGTTGCAGCAACACTAGTATGCACTGTATCAGAGGTGTGGACTCGAGTCATGTGACTTGGACTCGAGTCAGACTCGAGTCATGATTTTCATGACTTTAGACTCGACTTGACCAAATATAAAAAGACTTGCAACTCGACTTGGACTTTAACATCAATGACTCTGACTTTCACTTGGACTTGCGCCAATTGACTTGTAAAGACTTGCGTAACCCCGGCCATTTTTACCTTTCTCCGCATCTCTCTTTCTATCTATGCCGTCTCTGAAGAAACAAAGCCTCGCGGTAGTTGTAGCGCTCGCGAGAGAGTTCGAACGTGAGTTCCCCGCGGTTCGCGCAGCAACACTTCCCTAAACAAGCGCACTGCATTCACCGGTGGGTGTGTTGTCTAGGGGAGCTGGAAATGAGCGAGCTGCAGGTATTTATCGCGACCTTACGTCATACTTTGTTCTACAAACCGTAATTGATATGCTTTCACTACAGGCGCCTCATACAATTGAATCGACGCAGTTGTCACACTGTGTGCCGTGTTTTAAAGAGGAACTGGTGAGTCAAACTAGTGCTAGCCTGCGCTGCTCTGTTAGCTCTTTCTTATATTTTTCTTTGTGGGCGCCGAGGCCTATTATTATGAGTATGTTTTTGCTGTGCTCCTCCTGCTAAAGTTTGCATACATTAGATAGTTGTTTTGATTATGTGCACTAAGCTAGATTAATATTTGCACTATTGTTTATGGTGCATTGATATGAGAATCAGTGCTTTGACTGATTGAATTAATTTATATGAGACATTTTATTATGTAATGATATATTGGTAATTATGAGATATTGCTAATGCTGGTCCAGTTGATGGCGAGCTGCCCCAGGTCCAAAGCCTAGACCCCTCATACTACCCCTATCCTACAGTAGGACATTTGGAACAATAACCACTACGGACATTAAACTGATTATATAGATACAGGTCCTAGCCCAATACTCATATTCATATATGCTGCAATTGCTACTTCCCATTAAAAACCCCAAAGATAAAAAGTATGTTGACACGGACTGCTCTGATTTTATGTGTGGTCTGTGCATGTGTAACTGAGCCTGCATCTGGCACAACATCCAATTAGATCACGTAGATAGTTTTGATTTATCAGCAGCCAACGACATGGAACAAACTGTTAGTCCATGGGTCAGAGACCAACGAGAATGCACCAGCAAAATGATTCCTAACATTATTTTGTTTGCCTACAAAAGTACGTGGAGACCAACAAGAAACAAATCGCGGTCAAAAAGACTCGAGAGGACTCGAAAGTCAAACCGTAGGACTTGGGACTGACTTGAGATTTGTTGGCCTTTGACTTGGACTCGACTCGGGACTTGCCTGTCTTGACTCGTGACTTGACTCGGGACTTGAGGGCAATGAATTGAGACTGACTTGTGACTTGCTAAACAATGACTTTGTCCCACCTCTGCACTGTATTCAAAAATATAGCTAGTGATGCACAACGTCCAATTTAGTGGACACATGACTCAATGCAATTTCCTCAAAACAGAAAATAAATTCTTGGGTTTTTCAACAATTATACGGCACCTTAGATGTTACTTGGTGTCCACATATTTTTTTTTA